AGAATCTGGTAATTGTGATAGAATCTTATTGACATTTTTTTATTATGAGACAGTAACGACTTGAAATTACATAGTTTTTACACATTCATTCCTTTTTTTACGTCAGCGATTGCGTAATATTTAAGTAATGTATAAAAAGGGTAGATATCCTACTGCCATAAAATTTTAAAAGTAAGTTATTTATTGTAGTCATATTTTTAAAGTCATTTTTTATGACAAGTGGTGTTTTTTTGCTCATTATAATCAGTGGCCATATTTTTTTTTAAATTTCCCTTAGATATAGACTGATTTTTTCATTTCGTAACAGCGAATCTTATCACTCTGAATACCTTTTTTTAGTCAATTAGTTTTAAGATAATCGCCATAATACCTGTAATCTCTCCTTGCTTTAATTTTATTGTCGAATTTTTATTTTTTAAGATTTTTTTTAGTTATAAGTAGGAAAATTTTCTGACCTTTTGTATTTTCTATGCGTCATGTTTAAGCATCTAAAATATCTTAAAACATATTGATATTGTATTTACGGTTCGCATTTACAATAACTATATTCGCTTGAAATATTACAGTTTGTACTTTAGTAGATATAGCCGTTCGCTACATTTTACTATGATGTCTCTGTTCCATTAAAAAATACTGGCAGGTGTTCAACACTTTTTCTTCTTTAAAAAAACATAACATATTTTACTATTGTATACTTCAGCTATCTTAAAGTCCAGTCGTAAGTCAGCAGTTTCGGAAAATACAAACAAAAAATTAAAAATATACTTGCTGGTTTGAGTTACGGCAAATAAGTATAATATATTTGGATTATATTTTTTAAGTACTATGATATGTTAAAGAAAAAAAATCGTGTTTTTTTTAATTCCAGTAGACTTTAACATTTTGTTTATTGCTGAGCAGAGACAATCGTGGACATATTTTTGATGACGTTAAAACTGTTGTTATTATGTATTGTACAGCATTTTGTACTGTCTTGTTGAACGTTGCTAGGGCTATAAATCTGTAATCAATCTATTTGTACTGTGGAGAAAGGTACTTATCTGTATATCGAGAAGATATTGTAATAAAAATGTCAAATACATTTTTGTGTTTTATTTCAATCATTTTATCCTTCCAAAAAAAAATTTAAAAAGTTTTTTTTCTTTTTTTTTTCTTTTCATTTTTTCTTTGCACTGTATTACACTTTAGTTAAGTTTTATAACACGCTAGATATTATGGGAATTGTTACTTACGTGTTTTTGTATGTTTCACGTTTTTTTTTTTTGAGTTTTGTGCTAACACAGGTTTTTGTGGTTGCTGTTTTACCATTGTGAGGTAAGATTTTGTCTGTGTTTGCATGTTTTTAATGAGTTTTATTGTTTTATTTTATTTATTATTCTAAATTAATTTTTGAAAGTCATTCCAGAGATACAGTAATCACCTTTAGACTTTTTTTACAAAATGATAAGATAATTTATTGCATTAAAATTTTTTATAGAGAAAAAAAGAAAAAAAAATTTTATCATTACAATATTGTAAAGCTTGTTTAAATATAAATATGAGACATGTGTAACAAAAATACAAACATATGTTTTTGCCAAATTATTTTTTAAATATTTTTTGACTTCTCTATGAAAACTGCATGTCCCATATATTTTTGCTATAAAATGAATATAACAATTCTTGATATCTAATACTTGTTTTTTTTTTTTACAGACGAGATTATAATATGGATGAAAAGAAAATATACCAAAGAAGATAAAATATCCGGTAGATAATGTGTAAAATATTTTATTGTTATTTCTAGATTAAGATTTATTAAACATCACAATGGTCAAATGAACTAGAGTAGTGAAAAATAAATAAGTGAACAAACTCTGTACGGTGCAAAAACATATTTTTGTATACTGTTAGCTAAGGGCCTGTCCCATCAAATTGTAAATTGTCTGATAACAACGTGTAAAATATATGATGGAAATATCGGATTTTGTTACCTTATCTGACAGAGACCTTATTTTAAGGTATCTGAGAATCTATCAGCCAGTGGTGGGACAGGCCCTAAGTGTGCAAACACATAAGTAGAAAAACTGCGAAACGAAAAATCTTAGATGTTCAACATTTTTACCTATTTTTGGTAAGATAAATTAAACGAAACAATTTTATTTATCAGAATGATATAATATTGAACAAATTCCTTTCTCTACTAATCTTCATTTATAATTACTGTTCTTTTATTATCTATTGTTTCTTTTATTAGATAACTAGCTTTCGCCCGCGAATCCCTCCGGTGAAATTAAAAAAAAAACAAAACCAACTGGCCTATGTGTTCCATACTAGTATAGTTCCAGATTATCCTCTACATCAATGCTAAATTTCAACGAGATCCGTTCAGTAGAGAAGGATACAAACTAATAAACATCCATCAGTCTAAGCTTTCGCATTTAGTATTTTTTTTACAATCAGTTATTAAACCTTTTAATAACACAAACCTGTATAACCTTAATTTTGTCAACTGGCTGTACCGGCGTAAACCGGTTTATTGCGTTATCGCCAATCGCCAGTGGTTACGCACACATATGTCGTGTTGTACTAGTGCGTCCGCGCGGCTTTGACTCTGTATAGTTTATCTACTTATGTAGTATCTGGATTTACTACTTTGTGTTGAATCGTCGGGTTAATGGATTATTTCCAACCGTCTCCCAGCTCTGTCCTCAGGTGGAGGCAGATGAGAATAAATAGTTTCATCCGTCCCACCTTTTGCGACATAGGGACGGTTGTATCTTGTTTTATTTCATAACGGTTCTATCTGTCACCTTATTAGTGATAGTGGGACTAAAAGGTGGGACGGATGAAACTTTTTATTCTCACGTGGGGACAGAGCGGTTCGGAATAATTTGATTTAATTAAGTATTTTTGCATCAAACTGCAACTAGTGTAGTCGAGTGTTGCGTCTTGCAGCCATTCTTTACCTTCTTATATTTTGATTGGTGGTTTATTTAGGTTCAAATAGCGTTAAAAAAAAGGTTGGGTTGCTGAATTTGTGTGCTATTGTTCAACTTTTTTAAAAAGTTTTTAAAAATAATGACATTTTGTCTTTGTTGCATTTATTAGAATTATGTAAATATAATTTGTTAGATTTTGTATGCAGTGTACTTGTTTTTTTGTATTATTTTATATCCGTCCAATTTTTATATGAATTCCTTTCACTTTTAAGGGTAAAGTGAATTGTGAATCGTAACTATTATGTAATAATCTTTCGATGTTTGCAATTAGATCATGATTGTGGTCAAAAGTTAGTTTTTCTAATTTAATATAATAGAAAATATAACTAAACCAAGCAATACAATACCTTTTGTGATAGAAGTAATGTCTACAATTTCATCTACATTTAATATCCCAGTAATATCTAAAACTAGCTGTTCCCGTGCGATTACATCAGCATAAAATTATTTTATTATTTACATGTGTCAAATTGTCAATTGCAAATGTCAAAATGACATGACATGACAAAACTTGGCAATCTTGCTTACTTGATGTTGGCAGCAACTTATGGTCTCTTTCCCACGTTAGGGTTTATATCCAAAATATTTACCCCTAAGTTTAATGGCGTGAAAATGTATAGCCTAAAGCGTGACGTAAGTTTAGGGCTTTTTATTATAGAAATAATTATTCAAAAATATGTTGTAATTGCTGACATCTTAGGCAACAAATAAGTGTGAGTTTACGCTTTATTATAATAGTATAGATTGCTATAAAAATTCAGTCAAAATTCTTTAAAGAAGTCATACCAATTTGTTTAATAAGCTACAATTACAGTTTAAAAAAAATGAACTGAAAGGTTTTTATTTTCGCATCCCTTAGTTGGTTTTTTAAATGTTGAAATTTCAGTATTAATATAAAAGCGTACCATGTGTATGTTTTATTTAAACGTTAGTTTCTACTGCCAAAAGATTCCAAAGAATTGTTGTCTCTTTCAATGTGAAAAAGCTGTAATATCAATGTGTTTGTATTAATGAGCAGTGGACCTGTAGCACTGATCTGTACTAAATGGATAGGTCATTGTTTAGGAATGACGGAATGCTAAGTTTCGCCTGTAAATTTGAGATGATTTATTCTATACTCGCTGTTCTCGTACGGCTTCATCCGCATAAAGTTATAAAAAATTTTTTGCTCACAATTGTCAAATTCTCAATTGCAAATGTCAAAATTACCGTTACCATAATAACTTTGCTTTCTTTATGTTGGCAGCTTGTAGTTTATAGTCCCTTTCCCACATAAATGTTTTTTCCCGTAAATAACCCCCTAAATTTAGTAGCGTGAAAATATATAGCCTAAAGGGTGTCGTAAGTGATTATTATTAAAGAAAGAATTATTCAAAAAATGATGTGATTGCTGACATCCTACGCCACGAAGTAATGTGTGTTTACGCTTTATCATATTAGTATAGAAGTATAGATTACTAGTGTGTATCTTCAACACCGCAAACAGCAACAGTCAGCGCCAAAATGACGAAAATCAGGCACACATGTCTGTATGTCCATTTATGTAGGTCAGTGATCTATAGTAAATTGATGATTGGAAAATAGTTGCTGCTATAGTGTAGGTTAAATGTTACCGCCTTTTTTAATTTTATGATGAATACAAATGATTGAGTGTGAATAAAGAAATGATGAAAGAATTCGATTGTTTTATTTGTTCACCAAGAAGTTGTTAAAAATGAATCCTAATCGGATTTTATTTTAGTCCACTTTCCTTTCCACCCTTTTCTTAAGAGGAATGGATGGGAAAGAAAAGTCGATTTGACTTTATGTGGGTCTCCTCCTCCATCAATGAAGGGTAGGCAACACATCTGCAATTGCGGATGTTTATGGGCAGCGGTTGCTTTCCATTTCCATGGATTCAGGTGGCCACTTACTCGTTTGCCACCTTGTTTTAAAAAAAAATCACACTAATCTTATTGTATGGACACTTTTATTAACAATATGACTATAAAAACTTCAAAACAAAAACAAATTTTTAATAAACTAAAATGGTGTCTAAAGTTGACTATTTTAACGTTATATGTGTACATAATGGAATATTTATACTAGACAATACTCGACAAAACAAGAAAATAGATATATGAAATTAATTCCTTGATGGGCATGTGTAATTTGTTTATATAATCAAAGCATTTTCTACGTCACTTTTAAATTTAGGTAACTTAACTAACGATTTCGATTTATTTGAAAAATCCGTTGAATTATACATTTCAAACACGGCTTTTTTCATTTCCGTCAATTGGAATATATCGAACATTTCTTTCCGGTTACAAGTTTCTTCAAGCCCAGTTTCATGGCAACTGATGCATTTCTCTTCCAGAAATTTCGAACTCACTATTGTTATTTTCCTTTCATCGCTAATACAAAACATGCCTTTATTTAATCTATGTATTTTCAATTTACTCAAATTTATATTGTCATGTTTGGATTTTTGATTTTTTTTACCATCTGTCTGTGTTGCGTTTTTACATTTCTGTTTTAAACAATTTAATTCACATCGTCTATCTATATTGTACTTTGATAAAGTGTACAAAAAATCTAAATTATCATTTTCATCTAAAAATTGATTCAATTTTTTCATATTTTCAACACGACGATGATAATTCTCACTATTGCGTACAGATCGACGCGCTTGTCTTCTCCTGATGTCAGTGAGGCCCAGTTTTGTTGCGAGAATTTTAGTATGCTTTCTTTTCTCATATTTCGTACTATAGGAAGAGTTGGATTTTTTATGTCTATCTTTTGTTTCAACAGTAAAGAGGTAGTTATTTACATTACTCTTAGGTCTTACTCGAACCACGCTATCGAAATGACAGTAACCATATGAACTTGTAGCATTAAGGAAATGTGAATACAATGTTGATGCTTTGATTTCTTTTGACAATCTGTTAACGTTTTGATCGATAACATTTCTGTTACTATAATCCATTGTAGGCATCACACTTGAACCTTTTCGCTTTTCCTTTTTAATTCCCTTGTTAAAATCTTTCGCACAGTCTACAATTTTTTGTAAAACTCTATTCTTTAAATGTTTGTAATTGGACATTTGTTTTGTTAAACTGTAACGTCGATATGGTCTAAGAGTTGCGCTGCTGTAGTAAAGTTTTTCGTTCTTTATTTTTTTCGTACGATGTTTCGATTTGCGACTGTTTGTTTTGCTGTTATAAAATTGAATCTTTCCATTACTACGATTATCGCTTATTTCGTTACTGTTCATATTAATGTTCTTTTGAAAATCTGACTCGCTCATAATGGTGCCTTTGTTATTCGAATGCAATATTGTATAATTTTCTTTAGATGCGATACTTTTGATGTGATTAACAGACTTTGTCAAGTCTATTGTAAATTTATGCACCGAATAAGCATAATTATTAACAGCTTTGATTGTTTCCGATGAAATACTTTGAAGTCTTTCTGTTATTTTTTTAGAGTTGATGGAAATATTACTATTGCCTTTAAGATCTTTCCTTTTATTTGATTCGTCATTTTTGCAGTTTTTAATCAAAATTTTTACATTCATGCAATTTTTACTGTTTTTGCGTAGAATTGAATTTGCAGACTCGTTTTGAAATAAATACACCTCTTTGTTTTTACTGTTGATGTCGCTATCTCTTTCACAAAGATTAATTCTATTATCTTTTAGGATTCTATCTTTACTATCTTTAATGTTTACGATCATAGCTCTATCTTCGCCATGCTTACATCTTATTTTGAACACTATCTCTATAAAGTCACAGTCGCTTTTGTCATTACCTGGATCATCGTTGCATGTGTCGATACCGAGGCAAATTCTCTTTCCAGATTCTGATGTTATTGGAGGATTAGGATCGATTTCTATATTTTTTCTAATAACACATGGTGTCATTTTGTTTTTATTGACAATTTCTTTGTTATTCTCATCATTATCTATCTCTTTGTTAACTACGATGTTTTTAATTTCTTTGTTAGTATTTTTGCTGACTGTAGAGTTTGTGTGTGGACATTTGTGTGTTAATCCGGTTGTTTCTTTACTCGATAACTTTGTCGTATTGTCGGTCGAGTCACCATTGTTACACTCGATCGCGTCACCTGCAGTCCAACAAGCCCTTGACACATTTTTCCTAACTGGCTGCTTTTTAAAATGTAGTCCTATTAGCTTTCCTCTTCTGTTCATATCCAAATCTGTTCCAGGTGCTCCACATGATTTATCTTCAACAGAAGTAGGTAATGTAGAAAGTTTTTGAACGTCAGTGGTGATAGCACACTTTTTATATTCTGATTTAATCTGATCTCTTAAATTCGGGTCCGAATGACGACATTTTGAATTTTGACTATTTTTAACAGATTCCTCTGAAGACTTTTTATCTGTGACAAACTTACGACATATGCTGTGATATTTATTTTTTATTAGACTGCTCGGCTTGAAATAATCGGAGAAGAATCCTGATTTTGTGTCATTAATTTTTTCACAAGTTTTTCTATCTTCGTCTTGTGTATCGCAACACAAATGCTTTTTCCAATTTGTAATACAGCTGTCAGTATTACTTAGTAGATTTTCTTTGGAGGCGCTTTTCAAACATTTGACTTCAGCATTTTCGCATGGATTGTTCGTCATACCTGAACTAGTCGCTGTGATAGCAATGTTTTGACGAGTTGGTTTTTTTTCTAGTCTCGGATAAAGTCTGCCTGCGATTCTGCCTGTTTGCATAGAATCGGAGACGTGACAAGAAGACGATAAACATTGTAAATTCTTCTTCCTTATATCATTTTCTTTCAGTATTGATTTCGACTCCTTGTCAACTTCATAATTAGATATTGTAACGCGTTTTTTGTTTGGCTTAAGGGATATAAGTTTTCTAAAATGTTTTGATTTTGTTGAACTCGACAACGAAACGGAGAGTTCGTCGTGTTTCCATCTTCCTTTGTTGCTGTCGGAGTATAGTTTTCTTTTCTTACACACTTCTAATGAATCTTTCGGCGTGATTCGAATTCCAATGTTATTGGTTAGATAATCGTTATTGTGACTCTTCAGTAAAGATTTTTTACGCTTGTCTTTTCCACATTTTCCGAATGTTTCACATGATGACACTAGTGTTGTATACTGGATGTCATCGGTCATATTTGAGTAGGATTTTAAATTTATATCTTTATGCGTATGCGGATTATAGGATGGCTGTAAGTTTGTGTCGCTGATACACCATAAATCTAAATCTAATGGATTCCAGTTATGATATAGTTTCTGTAGATAAACATCTGAAGCTTTATACGTCTTTGGCAGTAAATACACCGTACCCTCCAAATCATCTCCACTTTCAGTACTTATGTCGTATCTGAAAAGCAAAAATTAATTTACAAGTACAAATGCAGTTTATGGCATTCACTATAGAAGTTAGCTTTCTTAATATGGATTGGAATAAAGCAGGTTTTGACATTATTTACTCATAAAAATCACCGAAAAAAAAATTGATATCCAGAATTGAACATGAACAATTATTTATACGTCTAGTAAATTCGTGAAGACTTACACTGGATAGTTTATTTTTTCTAAATTCTTTTGTGTGGCAATTTCTATTCCAACAGCATTACACGTTTTGGTAGCGTCTATTTCATTGTCCTGTAATATATCAGCACTGTAGGATCTTTTAACTTTTTTTAATTCCTCTGTATCGTTAAACCTGCAATTTGTAATATCTTTCATGCAACTTTCACTTGTTATTTTATCACATGTTTCTTTTTCTACGTTCTGCTTAAATGTAGTCACTGTACTTTGTCGCGGTGTTTCGTAATCAATTATTTTGCATACTTCTTCATTACTTTGCATCGCGAAAGATTGATGGATAAGTTCACTCATGCACCCTAAGGATATGTCAACCTTGACACTTTTAGGCTTTGATGTCATTTTGTCATTAATATTCGTATCGTTGTTTGGAACATCATTTTTAGTACTCGTGTCTTTACATTCAAAATATTTATTAAGTTCGCTATTTTTCTTTTTGTTAAATTTATCTGTTCTAGCATTCCAATATATTTTAGGTTTAACTAACCTATCCAATATGGTTTTCGTTAACATCCAAGCTTGAATATATTGATTTGAAAAGTTAATAAATGGGCTTTTATTTACTTTGTGCAATGAAGAATTATTTGTGACTGTGGGGGTCGTGGTTAACTGTACATCTGTATCGGAAGAACTGTTCTCTCCAATATCAGTAGAGCTACTCTCGACACTACTACTGTATTGTGTACTAATTTTTTTTCTAGGCTCATCTGATTTCGTTAAAAAATTTCTTATCCATGCATTTAATAACTTATCTTCATATTTAAGACGAAATTTTTGTATTGCATTTGTATTATAGTCTTGTGATAATAATCCTTTTCCAATCTGTACCGACATTCCTTCTCGTACCTCACATCTTCCTGTCATCACATCAGTTCTCGATCTTGGCACAGCCTTTACTTTCTTTTTAAAGAAGCGGAATTTTTTCCCTTCCTTTTTAACCGATGATTTAGTTTTTAAAAGTTTAGAAAATTTCACGCTAGCCTCAGATTTCTTCTTGCTTTCGGTACATTTAATTTTGCTTTTCTTATGTGATCCGCCATCAACGCTTACCTTCCTTCCCCATAATTTAAACCTTCCTTTAGTTTGATGGTCACTATCAACATCTGAACGACGCCAATAAGAACTCTTTTGGAGTTTTGCAGTGCTTTTCTTCTTACCTTTCTCCTTCTGTCGAGCGTCGGAATAGTCACTTGTAATCGGACTGATTAATTTTTTGTCATTAATTTCTGGCAATGAAGCTCCGTCTGAATCAACAGAGATATCTTTATATTTAGGTTCATTAGTTGGGCTTGAAGATTTTGACATGTTCTTTTTTAATTCCTCTTTAAGCGTCATATCACGCCTTAACGCTTCAAAACGTCGTAACAAAGAATCGCTATTTGCAGCCGAAATTTTATTATTGCACGAACAGTCTTTAGATTGATTTGAAAATATCTTTCTATATTCTCTTTCGAGCTTGTTTTCCATGGGATCGATTGTAGCTGTGCTTAATGTTGCATTACATGGCTTGTCTAAGTTATAAACATGTTGCACTAAGGAATCCAGTGAAGATCCAGTACCCATTTTGTTACTTAAAATCCTTGACATTTCTACCGAAAGTTCTACTTCAGATTTTAGGGGTTTACCATTCTCTAATATTTCCGTATTTGTGGCTAGTTCTTTAAATATTTTGATTTTTGTAGATTTCTCTATCTCTTTTGTACCCATTTGTGTACTGGCGTTTACCTGATTGTGTACTGAAGGAGTAGTGTTCACATTATGTTCCAAGTCTTGTTTGCGAAAAAAGGTAGTCAATGGATTCGTATAATTGGATTTTTTTCTGACAAGAGGCGACAGCTTTTTATTTAGCAAATGTTTTTTATTTGCGACTCTTTCTACAACATTTCTGGTTGTTTTGTGAGTTAGGTCATTGAAGTGGTGACATTTTGCTGAAACAAAAACACAGTTAAATAAAATATCTTATCCTTAATAAATACTATTCAGTGGTTATGACAACATTTGTTATTCGAATTCACATTAATTTTAAACTTTCAAGAGTATTAAGCTTTCAAGAATCTACGTAGAAAAAGAACAGAAGTAAATAACATACGGTAATCATTGATAGATGTGCCAACAGCTCTCTCCTCAGTCTGGGGCACGTAAATCCTCTTTGCTTTCCTTCGTTGGTATGCCTTAACATTCCCTACACCAATATCAGTAACCTTCGGTGGCATTTGCTTCAGTTTAGTGGTAAAATAACTAGCCTCTTGATATTTCCCGAGGGAATCTCGACACGAACAGGTTAAGTGACTCCAATTGCTGACATTTTGTAAGTCGAGATCTTTAAAATTATAATTATAGCCCAAAGGCGTCTGTTTTACATGAGTTCTTGCATTTTCAGGATAATAATGGTAACAATAATTTCGATCTTCAACTATAGCACTTCGTATGTCACGTTTCGTAACATTTATGGCTTTGTTTCTTTTCATTTCTTCTTATATATCATTATTTCTTCATTTCTTTTCATTTTGGTACTTATTTACCTTAACCGTATGACTTTTAACTGGAAGAAAAATTCGATTGCACTAAGATTTACTACTTGTTCGTAGATTATACATCTCTTGTTCTATAACTCACCTATTTTGATATACATAAGCACAGTAACATTACTTATTACATGAAATTACTTTTAATTTTCTATTTTTGCTGTACCCAAAAATTTTCACTGCTAATTTATATTTCTATTATTTTATGTCATTATTCTGTCATTGTGGATTGTCATATTCTGTAAAATTTCTTCCTTTATCTCTTTTACTGCCAGAACTATTATTGTCTATGACATCGTTTGGATGACAATGACAATTTTATCACGTCAATTTCACTGGTGAAGAGTTATTTTCGATATAAATATTATTATTCAGTTTATTGTTATTTGGTTAAAAACACTTATTATTATATATTTACTCAAAATCGAAAGAAACATGATAAGTTCCATTGTAAGTTTAGAAGTATTAATGTATAGAAAGAGACAATCCAAAACACGAATTAATATAACCTAAATTGATCGTGAATATTAGAAATAACCTTAAAAATACTTTCAAATACTGTTGTTGAAGTCAATACTTTTTTCAGATCTTCTGTGATTTCATATGATATCCAATAACTACTACAACAAAGTGTACATACAGATAACAACATATAAACAATATTCTAAGTTAAAAGAAGATATGAATCATGAAAAGGAAATCATTAAAAGGTTCTCCCAACCTGATGATAATACGAAATTTATCTGTTCAATTTGCCTTAACACCAAATCTAAATGTGATGATTACGGGAAACCAGAATGCAATAAACGAAAAACGAAATCTTGTCCAATCTGTCAGAAAGGTGTGCATTACCGTTGGGAAGGTTTGGCTGAAAAACTTAAACCAGAAAAATGCGAAAAAGAGAAAGCTATAAGAATGAGCGATCACACATCAAGTACCAAAACGGTTCAGACATCACAGACTGACGTCACACAAGGATTAAATCTACTAAACGAAGTACTCACTGTATTCCAGAGCAAGAAACAAATTTGCGTAGAAAAAGAGAAATATAATAAAACAGTTATCGTCAAAGATGCCTGCGTAGAAACTGAAAGTTGGAGAATAAAAACAGATATGAAACCAAAATTAACAATTAGTAAAGTATATCATATATCTATAGCGGAAAGTAATGTAGCCGAAAACAATAAATTTACCATTGTTAATTGCTCGCAACCGCAAAGGGATAGGAATTCACAGTATTCGATAGATCTTATAAAACATAAATCTTCATCTATTCCTCAAATGAAATTAGAGGAACTGAAACATTCTTTAAAAGAGAAGACTAAATCGAAAGACGCGATCGAGGAAGTGAATAGAATGTTTGCGACGGTGAGAAAGAATGCATTACTGGAAAGCACTGACGACGGTAACAGACCTTTGATAAGAAGTGGACCTAGAGTTTTACCAGTTGTAAGAGTTAATAAAAAACATGGGCATGATATGACATGTGGTAGTAAACTTCGTTTCTCATATGACCGTCGGGAAGAGAAAAGAGTTGAAGAGAAACATTGTAAATGTTGTCAGACGAATAACTATCTATTATCGAGTGGTGATTCTTTGATAAAGCCGAGTTGTCATTGTCAACAAAGGACTTGCGAGAAGGTGTGTGGTAAGGGTGGTCACGTGTCACACTGTCATACTGGTTGCCGTCAGTACCACGATTTATGTGACCATTGCTGTCAAAGGTTTAAAGACAATAGGTGCCATCATCATGTCTGTTACGAAGATACAAATGACGGGGATAGTTGTGCTAGCTCTTGATTTATACACTGTTTATTTTTGATGTTTTAATATATCGTTGAAATATATCTCTATTACATATTTAACATTGTTTTTCATCTAGGTTGTAGACTGATGCAATTTGAACTTTTTTGTCTAAGTTAGTATACGTTATCTTTTTATATATGCGGTTTCATTATTGGCATAAAAGAAACATACAAAACAGTTACTATAAAATTTTATCAAAATATTTTTTATTGATCGATAGAAAAGTAAAATATGAATTCAAAAAATCAAAAATAAAAACTCTCCGTGGAGCATTTCTTCTCGCCTCTGAAAATAAACACATACAATTAGTTTTCATTTCTTTCAACATGAATTTTCATTATATTTTAGATTCTGTATAGATTCGTACTACGAGTACTTCCATAGTTTCAAAATAATTCAAAGTTCCTTTACCTCATGTCGTGTTTGCATTTATTTCGTTCTAATTTCTCGCTATGAGGACGTTCCCATTCACGAGGAGTTTCTTGACTGTATCAATGTTTAAAAATTAATAACTCTAATTATAGCTTAGACATCATTTAGCTTTAGTTATACTAAGTAATACTTACTCTCCTAATCCCAAACTAAACACGGGCCCACTTGTGTGTTCATTTTTAAGGATATTCTTTGTCAAAACTTTCTTAAGCGTGTTTGATGAATCTACAAATTTGCACATGCATTCGTTAAGACTCTGCATTTTGAGTAACAGCTTGTCCTTCTGATTGTCTTCTATTGGACTGTCTATCAGTCTTTCTAATTCCTTCTTGATCATTCTATAATTATTCTTTAGCTCTGGTATATCGGTCCATTTCAAATCAGTGTTGACAGCAGCATGCTTTAGTATTTTAATTTTCGGTGTTACCGTTTCTATGATAAATTCTCCCTCTTCTATTATATCGTCTGCTTGTTTATAATAACACTGTCTAGCGCCGTATTCGTCTATGTTAGAAGCATCATCACAAAGACCGTCTTTTGTTTTAGCCATGACAAGTTTTAATAGATTTTCTAAACCGATTTTATGATGATTGAGGAGATGTCTATCTAGAACTGTTATGCTGGAAGTGAAAAATCTTTATTTTATACTAGATTCGCCAATGGTCTGCGTGGGATTAAAAAAAAAACAAAAGTGAGTACATGTGTTCTTCCAGACTATCCTCTACATCTATATTAAATTTCATCGAAATCCGTTCAGCCGATTAGACTATAAACTCTATCAAAAATCCATCCATCCAAATAAACTTTCGTATTTATAATATACTAGCTTTCGCCCGCGACTCCGTCCGCGTGGAATTAGAAAAAAAACAAAAGTAAGTAGTCTATGTGATCTTCCATCCATCCATCCATCCATCCATCCATCTAAACTTTCGCATTTATAATATTAGTAAGAAGTATGATTGTGACTTTAAAATGTAAACTAAGTATTGGAAATGCAACGTCAACAACGATGATGCATTTTTCTATGGATATATACAATTAATTATAAAAAAACCTTAGTGCAGGTGTTAGATGCAATTATTCTAACATTCCTAAGCATATATGATTTTTAACTATTTTTATCTACACGTTGATAAAGAATGGATATAGTCCACTCTTTATAAAAATAGATAAAATAATGTACAGGTATTTCATAATGTAACAAAACTGAGAACAGAACAGTTCACACAGTCCACACGTTACTTATCCGAATGATCCGATGAAAACTGAGCGTGTATAGGCTTTACCGATCAGCGTCAAATGAGCACAAATGACAGGAATATTTTTCCGGTCGTCCATCATTCAATATAGTTCTTGTAGTACATTCTGATAGAGCATGATCCTTCAATATAGTAGACCGATGATTCCGTGGAGATGGGTCCTAAAATTACATTAACAATGAAACAAAACTACCTTAATTATATCGTGTTTGTGATTGACAAATAATTGGTAAGCCTGACAAGCGTTGAAGTTTCTTGTAATAGTTAGGTCATTGAGTTGGGGAGTCTTTTTTATATGAAAGGTGCAAACGAACGCTGAAAACACCGATCAACGACGCCCATAGACATCCGTAATACCAGAGGAACTACACATGCGTTGCCAGCCTTTAAGGAAATGGTAGGCTCCTTTCTTGAAGAACCCTAAGTCGTTATTATTATTGACATAGATTCTATACGGGGCATGTTACTATCAATATCACTTGAACTTGCTTGCAATCTTGTATAAAAATGTAAGTGAATGTCTAACTGTGACAACGCTCTCAGCGCCTTCTTCTTGATGAACGAAGAGCGTCTTACTGCGGCAGATGCGAGTGCGCAGCTTGTCAAATAATCGTGTCGCAGACGATGTGCGACTTGGACCTGCGTCACACATAAAGTACAGGTAACTTGTGTTAAGAAAATCAATACTGCGCTGGAGTAGCGCAACACTAGATCATTGGCACGTCCCTATGAAAGCTGTCAATGTCATTCAGACGTTTTAGAATAGCGCGCCATTCTGGCGGGAGTTAGGGGTTTGAATGTAGAAATTAATTACGTTGTTACAAATTTATTAATGTCTAACAGAAAAAAGTTAATATAATATTGATCTAAAAGAAAACTTACGTATAAAGAAATATTTGTAACTTACGAAGATTATTTCTTAATTTTGAGCAAAGTATTTTACCTTTTAATGGTTTCCTTTCGCTGCAAGGCGAAAAAGATCTTTCCTTTTTCTTCATTAAAGGCAATGAGCTTGTTTTATTCTTAAAAAAGAAGAAAACAAAGCAAATAAAAGTGTTGCTATTGTATTATTATTGTAACTCTGCTATGAACGTTAAAACGTTACGTAATAGTGGCCTCAGTTGATTCCATGCTAATCATAACTTCAGCATTAAAATTAAACTATTTCTAAATACTGGCTTATTCTTACTCTATTTATTTATTTTTACAGGAAGCTTATCTCGAAGCGACGATAACGCCCCATGAGTCTAAAACTAACAAAACTCAGTTCTCCAACTACTTTCTTAAACAGATGTCGGCCAAATTAAATACCATCCTGGCCTCGTCCGTAGACGGGTAAGCCAGGATATTCTTTAAGTGACCGACATTACAGCCATAAACTTTAAAATAATTAAAACTTGCTCGCTCGTTCCGAACACACTCCAATAAAACATGTTGAACATCGTTAACTTTATTATCTTTTTTGATTAGCTATTGAAATTTATTTTGCAATGTGTCCGGAGGGTAAGCTCATCGCCATCCTTGTGTATCAGGTTGATTTGAACTTTTGACTTCATCAAACCAAGGGCGTAAGAAAATTTGAGGTTAGATCGTGCTGTACCAAATCCTTCCAACTCTCGATATAGCGTCTAAAATTCTTACTTTCAATTTGTCTAATGTTGGATATTCTTCGGCCGCACAATTGTGATGCAGTTGTCTGTGCATCATCAACGCGCTTTCGAACTTCGCCGTGAAATCACATTGAGAACAACTGCAATACAAATTTATATTTTACTACCTTTCGCCCGAAACTCCGTCCGAGCTGAACTAAAAAAAACAAATGTAAGTAGCTTATGTGTTATTCCAGACTATCCTCTACATATATGCCAAATTTTTTCAAAATCCGTTCAGCTGCTTAGGCTACAAACTCTAACAAACATCCATCCAAACTTTCACATTTATAACATTAGTAAGTAAAGTATGAAGTGAGTTGTTATTGCTAGTCAACAGTCTCAAAAGTAACCGAATTAAAGAACAGAATGACAATATTTTCTTACCAATGACTCATAGTGTTAAATAAATTAAAAACTAAATGAAAAATAAATATGAAATACAAACTGACGGATCAAATAAAACTGATCGATTTGACACAACTTTGAAAGATAATAGACAAAGTGAATATACGCAGAAGGTTGCATACACCTTTGAAGGTATGTTTTTAAAAAATGATACACTAATGGGTGACAATGATCTGTATGAATGGATTGGTGATTGTTTTGGAAGACAGCTTTAGCTTTAAACACGTTAAGGATAAAGGAAAGTGCGTACCTTATCACTATTTAAGAAAACTTTTGACAAAGACAAGGTACCGTAGTTAATAGCTTGTCCATTTTTAAGTCAGTTGTCAATTTTCTATCCTTTCCCCATAGTCTAATTCTTTTTTCCATACTTAGAAATGGTCCAAAGAAAAAGAGGATAGGATTTCGGTTATGCGGACAACACACTGGTCTCTTAATTGGGAATATTAAACAACGATCCTAGTGATGTTCATCAAGAAGTAACAAGTACAGTATAGCAAAAATTAAACATTGTAACGCAGTTAAAGTGCTCGATGCCACTTCTAGGTAAGTTACATTGTTACGTCGATAAGTCGGTCGTTTCTTAACGACTTCCATGCCTCTTGTACATATAGAACAGATACATCAAAACGTGTGAAATCATCAGTAGGTACTTAGTTCTATAACACAATTGCATTCAATTATGTTTTTTTCTTCTTCGTCCTACGATAACTAAATCCTTTGTACGCGCACTATCGCGATCTTTTAATAACAAACTTCAATAAGTAACTGTAAAACATAAATTTAAGACAATATCGACGACTTTGTATGGTAATAAGGTATAGATTTGGACAGTTGGGATTTAAAATTATGTTTGTAATAGCACAAAGCCTCTTTTAAAGCCTGGTAACATCATGTTCGAGTCTCGCCTAGCGGCATTTCGCCCGCCGCCCGCCCCGCCCGCGTCCGCCAGTTGCAATCGGGGGGCCGGCGTGAGCGCATGTACGGTACACCGCAGTTCAACTTTTACACGTTAAAATAAAATCAGCACAAAAAGTTGTACCTGACAAACATATGACAGCCCCCATCGTCGTACAAGCGAATAAACTGTGAGTTTTGCAAGTTTTCTAATCAAATCACGTAGAATAACCGGTCGCAAAACTTCTGTAGGAAGTAGGTATAGTAACAGTTATATAAAATTGTAATACTGGGCTCTCTTTCGCAGGTACACCGAGTGAACGAGTTGCTCTTTTGTTTTGTGATATAAAAACCGAAGTTTGTTTTTTCGTAAAAAAAAGTGCCTCTTAGACGTTGGTTGTTTAGTGAAATCGAGTGTTGATCGTTCAGGTGAGTTATAAAAAGTTATTTTTCAATGCTTCTTATTTATACGCTTTCTCCAGACGTTTTTTTAGGGTTGAATGCATCGATGCAGACTAAATAATTATCCGTTTATTTGAAAGTATTTAACAATACTCGATATCTAAATGTTTTTATTTATGTTACTAATGTTGTTTTCTGTAAAACTATTTATTTATTTTACAGTTAAAGTTAAATTTATATTAACAAAGACCACATTGTATTGTTTACCCACATTGATTGACGTTTGTTTATGACGCGTTTTAACCTCGTTTCAGAACGAATGCAATTAATTTATAAATTAACGGAATTTCATTGCAGTTAAATTTTATTGTTACCCGGCCGACACAACCGGGAAATTTTATCGCGTCGATACTATGTTGGTATGAATGGATTTGAACTTGTATGCCGTGGGCCTAAACTGATGTTATTAGTATTATCTGATTTGTATTCTTCCCCTGAGTGATATAAGAACAGTCGGTTTTTGTTTTGTTTTTTGTTGTTAATAAATAGTATTTTTATTTAATTACTGATAGTACTTTTTACAGTTTAAAATAATATTATTATTGTTTGTTTTAGACATGGCTTGAATGTGTCTGTCTACTTAGAGAAAATAAACGGTCATTATTGTAACATTTATAATAATATCTCTGTATCTGACACTGACCTCTTTAAATGGACAGGCTATAAACTGTGGCCTATTTTATTTTCACCATTTTGACGCTACATGTTGCGGTTGGTCACGGCGAATAGTTTTCGTACTTTTAACAGTGATAGAAACACCTGTTATTAACATCAAAAGACGCGTTTAAGTTGGAACGAAGCAAAAGCTGTTTCCAAACAATATCCTATCTATTTATATATATCTATGGCATTTGAGTATTAAACTATGCAACTATGACGCAATCGCCTGGGACCGGCTTTGAGAATTGTTTTTGTTGATGCTTAACAATAAGTAGGCCTCGTTCCACCATATCTAACTTTGCCCAAGCGGCGTAAAGTTATTGCAAGATATTTAAGTTTTTAATTGTCATTGTCCTACCGTGTTATCGTCTGCAATCAAAAAGGAAAGGCATTGTACTCAACACTTCACAGGCCTTGAATTTACTGTAAAAATAATTAGCCGTTTCTCGCGACTTCGTTCCCGTGAAATAAAGAAAACATAACCTATGTTACTCACTAATAACGTGGCTTTTTAATGTTAAAGAATTTTTAAAATCGCCCCAGTAATTTTTGAGTTATTTCAATACATACAAAAGTACAAATCTATCCTCTTTGTAATATTAGTATAGAATAGCTTTCGCCCGCGACTCCGTCCGCGTGGAATAAAAAAAACAAAAGTTAATAGCGTATGTGTTTTTCCAGATTATCCTCTACGTCTCTTCCAAATTTCATCTAGATCTGTTTAGCCGTTTAGGCTACAAACTGTAACAAACATCCATCCATCTAAACTTTCGCATTTATAATATTAGTAAGATAACCGTATCTCGTTATTTTGCCTTTTGATAGTAGTATGTTAATTTAAAAGTAAAATAAATAATAACGAGTTCAAGATTTAGTCGTCAAACAGAATGTGAAAAAAAATTAGCTCATTGGATTTAAAAAGGGGTAACATTAATTGTATTAACAAACATTATTTGCGTTTATGAAAGCAAATTCCGTGTTTGCTGACGCTACAAAAAAACCGGTTAGATATATTTGTTATGATTACGGCATCGGTTTCGTGTGGCTTGCGATTTTTACGTAGCTTGTGTAATATGTAGGGATAACCTATACAAGTTTACTAATATAACCGTCAGTTTTCACTGTACAAAACAGTTAAACCCACTCAAATTGTTAGAATAATGACATTTATAAAAAAAAAGTACATGAAAAAACAGGCGTTTACGCATTTCTTTGAACCTTCATGTTTAAGATTACAAATACAAAGTTATTGGTCAACTTTGTTGAAATTCAACACAATATTGCATTGAAAAGGCATTCAATGAACGTTTCACTTGCGGGGCTAAACGTCAACTGGACTTAGGTAACTCTTTATGACCCTTTAGACTAAGACCTGGGGACGCGGGAAGCTTAGGGTTGCCATTAGCAAAAACAACTAAACGCTGGCAGCGAAGAACTATTCTACAGTGAAAAAAATGCAATTATAATGACTAATGATTATTAAATTAAGCTATTTATTTTGTTAATTTAAGAATTATCAATAATAAAAAAACAATCTAAATAGTTTTCGCCCGCGACTCCTGCGTGGTATTAAAAAAACAAAACCAAGTAGCCTATGTGTTCTTCCAAACTATCCTCTACATGTATGCCAAATTTTATTGAGATCCGTTCAGCAGTTTAGGATACAAACTCTAACAAACATCCATCCATCTAAACTTTCACATTTATAATATTAGTATGATTACCTTACAGATTTAATACAATCAAAATAATTAGTATTGTAATTTTGCTATAATATTTTGACAGGATAACCACTGAGACTATCTTGGTATTTTTTCTGTATTTTTACGCTTTGATGTATTTCCATGTTTTCTATATGTAAGTGTAAAAAACTTTCTATTCCATGTAATCAAAGTCTACCGCTATCGACGCAATGGCCTGTATAACTCAAATAGCCTTTAATTTCAATTACGCTTTCACTCGAATAACATTTTATTTAAATTTCACAGAGATAAATGACTTTTGTCTAGTAAAGATTTTTCTGGAAAAAAATCGTACAAGATTACTTAACAATTTTTTTTTCTAATTACGATAATAGTATTTAGTAAATAGAATTATAATTAAATTGAGATTTAGAGTAAAGGAATATCATAATGCCGTACAATCGGGGTCTTCCTACCTTGATTTTCCATCTCTTTTCACCATTTAATGACAGATATTGCCATCCCTGTCGCACAGTAGAATTCTATACCGTTAACCAACGCTAAGCCTTTGCAACAGCCTCGACAAGTTAAAACGTTCGCATGAAACATAGAATATTACAAATTTCGCGTTTCCTTTTTAACAAAGACTCTCATCATGACTTCCTACTCTCATCATTGTCATCCTCCCTATCCTACTCCAGTAGGGTCTGCGCAACAGGTTTTTGTCCTCCAAATAAATCTATCATACGTCATCTGTCACTCCCTTCTTGATCATGTCACCTTTCACGCAATCCATCCATCTCTTTCTACGGCTACCTCTACCGGTATACCCCCACACTCATGACTTGCTAACCTACTCGACTAAATAGCCGTTGGTACTCGACTAAATTACTAGCCTAGTGCGAACTAGGCATTTAAGGTTTTTGTGCGTTTTTTGATATGTAACTGGACTTTACTATATTAGTGTAATCATACTTTATACTAATATTACAAATTCGAAAGTTTAGATGGATGTTTGTCAAAATTTGTAGCCTTAACTAAGAATAGACACTCACTTTTATTATTTTTTTTTTAATTCCATGCGGACGGAGTCGCGGGTGAAAGCTAGTATTATAACAATGAGGCCACAATTGTTAAAATACACGCAAATAAGCAATGCTCCTATGTAATTGGTTAAGGTAAGGTTACCAGGTAGATTCAACAGTTCTCCGAGGGGCGCCTTAGGGCGTAGCGGTGGCAAGCAAAAGCGATCACGTGGCGCCCCCACAATGGCCAGGAGGGAACGGAAGGGTTTAGTGAGGTATGCCCCCCACTATGGGGGGAGAGGCCCACATAACTCTCGTGTCTGTCTCGAGGCACGGAATATGCGTAATGCATTCTCCTTCGAAAAAAAAAGGTGGATTCAACAGTAGTCTAAAAAAGAAATCAACCTCATAACAATACAAAGTCATACCTATAATAAAGCATCTCTTTTTGTAAGTACTCGCAATTAGTGACGACGTGCAGAATTATTAGAAAACAAGCGAAAGTTAAATACTAGAAAGTCAACTGTCAAGCCAATTCAGTAAACCGTTGCCCAATTACAGGGTGTTGTAGTTGATTCCCAGGTCACGTGCGTAGGAAAGTTTGTTGGACCTAATTTGGTTATCTCCACTACTAAGCCTCGTATGTTATTGAATATTATTATGTAATTCTAAACAAATTGTATATGAATTTCTTAATAATAACTGACGCCAACAGTATCGTTTATTGGTTACTAAAACACTTTCCCATTATGTGTATATTTATATCCTTTTAGTGCAGATTTAAACAGAAAAATTCTGATTCTTCAGCATCTTCTCCGCATAAGAATTAGTTCAGTTTAACAAAAGATGGCGCTACTAGTATAGACATCAAACTAATATTATAAATGCGAAAGTTTAGATGGATGGATGGATGTTTATTAGAGTTTGTAGCCTAAACGGCTGAACCGTTTTCAATGTAATTTGTTAAAAATGTAGAGGATAGGCTGGAAGAGCACATAGGCTACTCAGTTTTGATTTATTTAATTCCACGCGGACGGAGTCGCGGTCGAAAACTAAGTCTCGAATAAACGTATTATCTTATTTCCAAGCAAGTTTCTTGAGTATTAAGCATTTTGAAGCAGTAAAAATCCACTTTAAGTACCACGAGAACATTCTATAATTTTTTGCGATGTTAAGTTTTAATGACTTGAAATGTATTTACAAGTTTTAAATAGGTACAATTTAGCAAGTAATTAAATATATATTTTGCCTAATTTTATCATTAGCGTGTTATTGTTTAGAATATTATTGGAGCGATCTAATGTTTTGTTGAAAACAAAACGTTTTTTTTGTTTCTATTGTGTTAAATGTACCATAACTTATATTCTAACATATTAAGTAAAAGAATGTATGTTTATTTAATTGTCTACATATGTACATTTAGTAGAACTCACTTAACATTATTTTGTTACAAATTTCACCATCTTTCTCCTTATCCTACTCCCGTAGGGCGCAACAGGTTTTTGTCCTCCACATAACTCTATCATACGTCATCTCAGTCATCACTCCCCTCTTGATCATGTCACCTTTCACGCAATCCATCCATCTCTTTCTAGGTCTA